GGTTTCTATCCGGATTATCTGATCCGGATTCAAAATCCGGGTCAATCCGGATATAATCCGGATTATCTGATCCGGATTCAAAATCCGGGTCAATCCGGATATAATCCGGATTTTTTTTTTGTGTAATCCGGATGACGGTTTTCATCCGGGTCGAAGCACTAGAAACCGGACATAATAAATCCATATTCCATACACCGAAGGATTCGAAGGAACCGGATATATTATAAGTTAAAATGAAACCGAATTTATTTTTTAAATCCGGTTCCAACCTCTAATCTACGTATAATTGTGGTGACCACAATTATACGTAGATTGCTCTCGCAGTATTGATCCTCGGAGTTATTCGATGAGTTACGGACATTTTATTGACGGCAAAATATTGATACTTTACTAATTGGTCGCCAGTGATTTTTTTTTTTGATGATATATTCATGCCTTTCACGGCTGCAACGTGAAAGTTATCGATACCCTATTACTTATCTTCACACGGAATGAATCTCAATCTATCGTTTTATTTTTTTAAAAATTAAAAAAAAAAATATACTGTAAATAAGCACGTTCCTAATAAATAATGTATTTATTTGTGTTATTTATTTCATGGGGAGTTGGAAATAAATGGGTAATCCCCTGGAGCGTGTCACTCATTAAATATTAGCTATTTTAACTATTTTAAACTAAAATTAGTAATTTCCCGGCTATCTATATGAGACCGGGAAATAACTAAACGAAGATTCCCGGTCATTTATAAACTCGGCTAATCACTCGCAATTTTTTAAAAATTAGTATGAAGGTGATCATGAGTGACACTTAGTACGACAGGGGATTACCCATTTATATCATGGGAAGGGGAAGGGAAAAAAAACCCTATTATTCCCAACTCCCCATGGAATAAATAATACACAAATCCGCTGGAGCGTGTTACTCATTAAATATTAACTATTTTAGTAATTTCCCGGCTATCTATATGAGGCCGGGAAATAAGTAAACGAAGATTCCCGGCCATTTTATAAACTCAGCTAATCACACGCAATTTTTAAAAATTAGTAAGAGTGACAGTGCGACAGGGGATTAAATTTTTAATTCAACACAAAAGTTCATTATCATTCAAAGTATATATCTTCAGTTTAATATAATTTATTAATTGACTTTTTTATATTACAATTTATACTACAAATAATTTTTATTGGTTAAAATTTCTTAATGATACAAATAATAATAGGTGATACAAAGGTACAGCCGTACAGGTAGTAGATGGACACAAACAACTTTTATTTAATAATCAATTCTTTCGGGTAATACAAAAAATAATAAAGCGAAACAAAAAATTTTGCTTAATAATAATATAATGAAAGAAAGTAAAAAATAAAATAAACAAGTAATACTACTGAATAATAAAATACACAAGTAATACTACTGTATAAATAAAATAAAAATAAAGTAAAATAAAAAAGTAAAAAAAAGTAAAAAGTAATAAAATTATATAGTATTTAGACTAATAAAATTAAAAATTAAAATTAATTTTTTTTTATGGCCAAATGATAGCACCTTTTCTAAAGAAAACATTTGGATCATATTTTCCTTTCAATTCTTTCAATTTTTCAAGATTATCACCCCAAGTACTTTTTATTCTATTTTCATTATATCCTATATCATCTGACATATCAACAAAATTAACATAAAGAGATTTTTCTTCATCATTACTAATAATATTTTGTATCTTTTTTGCCCAATCATAAACAATTTTATCATCCTTTTCATTTAACCATCTTTGAACTATAACTACATTATAAAAAGGTTTACGAGGATAAAATGCTGTTGAATCAGTAGGTACAGAACAAAATTTTTCAGTACCATATAAATCAAATGCAAGGTATGATTGAGAGGTAGTTGGATTTTCATCAGTAAATTTAATATAAGAATTATAAGCTTCACGAATATTTGAAAGATCTAAATGAGTAATATGAGCATTAAACATTGCTTTACGATCTCCAAAGCTAGCGAATCCATTTGCTAAAGTATTTAATTTAGGATATGGCATACATCCTACTTGTTCCATTATAGGTTCACCACAATTATAAATAACTGAATATCTTTCTCTAAAAACTTGTTCCGATGGATCATTAGAAAATAACAGGAGTGCAATAATTGGCTAAAAAAAAGAAAAAAGTTAATATATCTATTTTTTTTTTTTTTTAAAAAAAAAAAAAAAAAAAAAAATATCATATATAACATGATTAAATACCTTATTTTCTGGAGGAGATCTAGAAATAACAACTGCCATACCTTCGTTTTCTGATCGACGATTTTTAAGCCAAATATTAATAGCTTCAATAATAGTATCTAATTTTTCAGCAGGATAAGCTATAACACCAGCAAAAACTTCCTTTTGTTCATGTGCTTTATAAATAAATTCATAGACAACACCAAAATTAGCACCACAACCTCTAATTGCCCAAAATAAATCTTTGTTCTTGGATTCAGATAATTCTTTCACTTCACCATCAGCAGTAACAATGGTGGCACCCACCACATTATCGATCGTTAAACCATGTCTACCTGTCAAATGACCAAAACCACCACCTAAAGTTAAACCACCAATTCCTGTATGATCAACTATACCACCTACAGTAGCCAAACCATATTTCCAAGCTTCATTATCAACATCACCGAATAAAGCACCACCTTGAGCATAAATTAATTTCTTTTCAACATCAACTCTTACTTTATTTAACTTTCTCATATCTAATACTACACCACCTTCAGAACTTGAAGTACCAGAACTTGAATGACCACCACAACTTACGGCAAAATCCAAATGATTTTTACTAGCGAATTTAACAGTTTTAACGATATCATCAAGACAAGTTGCTTGAACAACAATTCCCGCCTTTTTAATTGCGTTATCAGCCCATCTTATTATACTTTTTTCATAACCTTCATCACCTTCTGATAATACATTGGTAGAAGAATTAAATGATAACTTAAAATTTTGAACATCAGTAGAATCAATATCTTTGATCAATTTTTTTGGTGGATATTTGTTCATGATTTTAGAGGAATTTGAAGACTTTTTTTTTATTTTTTTGAAAAAAAAAGTTAAAAAGAATTCAGTCGAATTTTAAGAATATTTATAATTTTAAATTTTGATCGATTATCATTATCAGATTTACAATTATTGTTTTTTCATCCATTAAATGAATGATATTTTTTATTTTTCAATGAACCATTTATGTATTAGTAAGTTATAATTACGAGAGAAAGATTAAATTAGGAAATAATATTTCCATTTAAATTAAATCTATATGACGAATAAATTGAATTAAAAGGAAAATGCAAGGATTATCTATTGAGAATACAATGAATACAATGATTACATAGTAAACTTTGAACTAATTGCAAATTTACAAGTAATTAAAAATACTAAAAAATAATGAGTCAGGTTGTACCACAATCGGGGATATTTTTAGTATAATCGTGTACTAAATAAACTTTCGAATCAAAAGATTGGTTTTTTAGATAGATAATTTAATTACAAAAAAAAAAAAAAAATATTAAAACGAAAGAATTGATGAAAGAATTGATTGATTATAAGTTAGAAACCCAACGATATTTAAAAGAGGTTTAGTTTATGATATACTATTTAATTTTAAATATAATTTAAGTATTACACAAAGTAATCAAAAAGTAATAAACGTACGATGTAGATCATTTAATCGAATCTTTTTTAGATGTTAAGTGAAGATCATTTAGTTATTATTCGGAATGGCTTTAATACTTTTTGAGGAGAACAATAATTTCACATTTTATAACATTTTTTAGAAAACAATTTCCATTTTTTTTTTCCCCTAAAGAAAAAAAGGAAAACAAATATTTATCGATAGAATATATCGGGAAATAAGTTTTTTTAAACGAAACAACTTTTATTATGATAATTTATATTTTTTTAATATTATTAAAATTACATATATAATAAATTGCAATATACTGTACATATATCTTCATGTATTTTCATGTATCTTTGGTCTTTTCGTTCTTAAATACTAATAATTATATTATTACACCTTTTAATCGATAGTTGAAAGTATAAAATATTTTTAGTAAGTCACATATTCTCGCATGATTAACAATGCACTTTTAATCGTAATTACAACAAGCAAAACCCGATATTTCGATATTGTCTGCAAAAAAGTTTAAGCTAATGTAAGGGCTGTGCATTTTATGCTGTGTTCATTAATGTGCATAATAAGAATTAAAAGTACTGTATGAACGATAAAAATGAAACTTATAGATGTCCAAAATAAGGTGAGAGAGTATTAAGTTGCCTACACATGAGAGGTGCCTAAATTATGCAAAGTGAAGAAATATTAAATATTGATTATGTAAACATTAATATGGATTCATTCCGTGTACTTTTACTGCGTGATAATTAATTGATTTAGATATTTTTTAAAAGATATTTGATATAAATATTAGAGTTTTATTACGTGATTCATGTGACAGTATAATAATATATATATACATACATACATAATTAATATAATGCATATTTGATATATTTAATTAATATTACTCTTATTACTCTTTCGCCAATTATTACACTTTATAATCTTTTTGATTCTGAACCTGGACAACAATAACATTTTAATATTTATTATTTTGTTCATTTGCAAAACAATAATAATTTCTAGAAAGTTATTAAACAAATCATTTGATCATGAACTTTAAAATAATTTTTTCTTCGAATGAAGATTCTTTTTTTTTTAAAAAAAAAGATCAAATATCACGTGATCACACACTAAATGAGCAAACAAGTAAATTGTTTACTGCATATAACAAATTAACTTGGTCAAACGTTACCCCACGATTTTTTACTGGTGATAAAAATAATTCTTCTAAAACAATATTTGTCTTTTAAAAAAAATTTTTTTTCTTATTTAAATGGCGCCATCATTATGAATGTATTTTTTGAAAAAAAAAAAAAATTAATAATTCCGATTTTTCAATTTTTTCCCACTCCCAAATAAAAAAATGGTTCAAAATAAAATCTTCTTTATCTTATTTTTTATGATCCTCTTGATTATTTCAGTACAATCTGTACAATCTCCAAAGAATTCCACCGGAGAATATCGTAAATACAGTAAATACTTATTTTCAATTTTCTTTTTTCTTTTTATTTTAAATTCTAACGATCATAAAATTTATCTATTAAAGGAGGAGTGGGAAATAGAGAAGATGCTCGAAAAGGTGAAGATGCCGGGCATGTCGCTCATGAAAAACGTAGATGTAAGTTAAAAAATCAAAAAATTATTATGAATGAACGAATTGATGATTTAATTAATTAATTTCATGAAAAAAAAAAAATATAGATAAACGAAAAAGTTTTATAAAGAAACGCGAATTTATCAATCAACTTAACGTATGAAAATTTATATCCATATATTTCCGAATGATAATGGAGTAAATTACCCGTTTTTTTCGTTTTTTTTCATTTTTTTTCCATTTTTTTTCCATTTCTCAAACGATAATTATTAATCAATCTAAGAACAATATGAAATTTATGTATTAGTTTTAAATTTATTTTTTTAAGGTTTCAAGATTTTGTTATTTTAATTAATTAATTACATTTATCATAAATGATAATTTTTATCTGTATAAATAAATTGAACTTAATGATTTTTTTGGTAAAAAGATTTTTAAAATATTTGAAAATAATTAAAATTTTAAACAAATATTACCTGCAAATCCTGCATTACACTTAATTTGGCATACTGTATCTTGATTTTTATTAAAAAGTATCGTTATACGACTTAGGGAATCATTGTCTGATCAGCAAGCCCATTTACATTTGCATCATCTAAGAATCTTTTTTTTTAAAAAAAATTAGAAATTCTTGCATTCACACAATGTTTTTTGAAACTGTATCACCCACTGAAATTCTGACAGTCATTATGCATTAAATTTAATATGTACATCACTTATTATCCAAAATTGGGTAAAACTATAATTGAAATAATAAGTATTGAACTTTAAATTTTCACGTAAAGTACAGTATAAGCAGTAGTGCAGTAGTAAGTATCATGTATCAATGTATCATTCCAGAAAATTTCTCATCGCTCGCGTTTCCAACTTAAATTGATAATAATTAATACATATGTAATAATATTTATACAACATTATGTACAGTATTTCACTTACTATATACTGTATCTTATTACGTATTGAATGTTGGCGCAATATCCTCTTTCTCAAACATTTAAACATTTACATGCAGTATGTCATCATTTAAATGATATTTTTGGCTAGGCAATTTATAACAACTTTAATAGTTGATATTAGTCAAAAGTTGATCGATTTGTTTTGTAAATTCATTACCATTAATAGATTAATTCGACGTATAATCAAATCCGAACGAGCAGGTTATATCAGGAGTATCACTGTATCAGGAGTCAACGCAGTATACCAAACCTCGTAAGTCGTAATCACACGCTCTGGCTTATGATAATTTATAATCATTTGTAATAATTTTTTTGTATTACCAATTTTAATTGTGAATTTGTGGATACATTCATCAGTCTTTATATAAAGGAATGTGGTTGGATCTGCAACTTATCGTGATATTAATATATTTGTATATGATTTTCATTTTTCACCCCCGATTCACCGAAATACGTGCATTTTGTTTGTTACCTAAACAAACATCTCATATTAGTTAACAAAATAAGAAATTTATATAAAAAGTAATTTCTTTAGGATATTAAATTCCGTATACAAAACTTTATGAATTTCTATTAAGAATATTTTTTTTCTACAATTTTTTCTACAAAAAAAAAATACACTTTAATTGGTAAATGGTTTAATTTATTTAGTAAATTTGTTTCATATTTTTAGTATATTTTTTTTCTAAAAGATACTTCTATTCTTTTGTTGATCACAATATAATAAGTTTTTTTTTTAAAATAATAATGACTTAAAATAATTATTAGAATATTCTAGAAAAATTATTTATATACCTTATATATATATATTTTTTTGTTTGTTTGTTTAATAAATCGTATATTTATTACTTCATTATGCTGAGTATTTTTTCTTATCCCAAAGATCCGACATAATCTTGCTTTGTTTAAAAAAAAAAAAAAACTGAGAAATTATGACAAAAAAGAGATAATTATTAAAATAAATAAATCTAATCTATTTTTTTTTTTTTTTTCATTGATTTTATCTGATATAGTAAGTAAAAATGTCGATACATAAAATACATAAAACGCCTACTTTCATTTTTTAAACATTTTTAACTTTTTTTAACTAGATCAAAAAAGACATGACACAAAGACTGTAATATTAATGAAAAATGAGTGGCTTTTGAATGAAAATGATACATTAAGGATAATATATATTATATATATATTTTTTTTTGTAAATAATTATAAAAAATTTTTTTACAAAAAATTTTTTACTTTTTTACAACTTTTTTTTTACAATTTTTTTTTTTTAATGCTATTTGATTTTTTTTCGGCCGAAAATATTAAAAGTATCGGTCTATCGGAAAAAAATTTTTCTTTTTTAAATAAATAAATAATAGCCGTGCGTACGCACGTATGATTGATTGTCTTTGTTTGGTTTTACAACTAAATATAGCATCTTTATGCATATTTACATTAATTGCATATTTTAGCATATCAGGTTATATAAAGTGTGGCGGACTTCTCTTTTCATGATTTCTTCATTCTGAACAACTTTTAGGTAAGATATTTAAAATGGTTTATTAAAAAAATATTTAAAAGATTAATATTTTTTTTTTTTTTTTTTTTTTTAATGATTTAGATAATTTCATCGAGTTTTATTATATTCGATATAATCACGATTTGATACCACGTTGAAAAAAGGATCTGCGGGATAAAAAAAAGTTAACAAAATTTTTTTTTGATTTCACCACTTTTTGGCTTATTACGTGGATTATTACACTTTTTGGATTATTACAACTTTTGACTTATTACAAAATTTTGGAATATTACAACTTTTGGATTATTACTACTTTTCAACTTTTGAGCTTTACTTTTTCACCTTTTGACTGATTATCGTTACCATTACCTTTACCGCTATCGTTACCATTACCATTACCGCTATCGTTGCCATTACCGCCACCGTTACCGCTACCGTTACAAATCACCTAAATCAACACTTAAATCACACATAAATATGATTCCAACAAATCCAAATTTTACATATCCTACAAATCTTGAATTAAATGGATTAGAATCTACACTTAAAAGATTCGCAAATTATCCAGAATCTAAAATAAAAGATGAAATAATTTCAAAATTAGTAGAAGAAATAGGATTACAAGGTCGTACATTTCATTTATTAACAAAAGCAAGTTTAACACAATGTCAAGGAACATTTTCTTCTTCAACATCAAATATTATTCAATTACTTGAAAATTTTAAAACTAAAGAATTAGTAAATATTAAACCAGATTTAATGATATCAGAATTAGCAAAAGAATTTGATTTAATTAAAAGTGGTTATAAAGATATTTCTAATACTTTACAAAAAATTTCAAAAGAATTTCAATCTCATAAATCTTTTTTAAATAATGAACAAAATTCACTTAATCAATCAATTTTAAATTTAAAATATTCTATAAGACAAGAAAAATTGAATTCTATAAAAACTGGTATAATTTTTGGTTTTGGTATTGGAAGTTTATCAAATTTTACTACTGTTATAATTTTACCAAAATTTGATTGTGGTTTAACTTTATTCACTTCAATGTTTACTGGTGGTTTATTAGGTTGGTATTTTGGTAATAAATTATCTTTTAAATTTAAACAAGAAGTTCTTATTAAAGAAAATCAACTTGATAATTTAATTCAAAATTCTCAATATATTGATAAAGTTATGGATAATATTGAATTATTTAAAGATGGTGTAAATTTATTTGAAACTTTTTGGTCTAGACATCATTATCATATGATAAGTACTCAAAATTTTATTCATAATGCAAGGAAAGGAACCGCTCAAATAAGTAATTTTAATATAAAATCAATTCTAATTTCTTGGGAACGTGCAAAAGTTTCTTTAGATAATTATGAAATGACTGTTGATTCTATTACAAAATAATAATAAAAAAAATACTTTGAAAAATTGTGGATTTTAATAATATGAAATGTATTAAAATTTATTAAAAATTTATTGAAAATTTATTGAATTTATTGAATTTATAAATATTAATACAATTAAATAATATTAATAATGATGATTTAATTATTTGTTTGTTTGTTTATTGTAATTTAAAATAGTTATTTGTAATTTCTGTGCATACTTTATTGCATACCAGACAGATACTTGCATACGGCATACCCCCAATTACCCCCATGAATGTGCATTACATTAAATTAAATCATTCCACGTTCTCTTAATAATTGTTCAGATACATTCCATAATTTCTTTGTAACTTCTCGATCTTTTGCAACTTCGATTGGTTCCCTTTCAATACCTTCATGATAATATTTTCCTGTATCTTTATTTTTAGGGGAAAGTACAGGATAAAGAGTATTGATTGCACCTTGTTCAGTTGGACTTGCAAAGAATAACATTACCGAGAGTAGAAAATATGAGACATAATCTGTTGTATTACTTATATTTGATTTAATTACACCAGGATGAAGCGAATATGTTTTAACATCTGCATATTTAAAAAAAAGAAAAAAGGTTAAATTATTTTTCTTATATTATCTATTATAGCAAGAACAAGAAATGTACTTACTTTCGTTTAGAACTATACGACTTAATTCCTTGGCAACGATAACATTCTTTAAAATAAGAAATAAAAATATATATAAATAAAAAAAAAACCTTAATATTGTACATACTATTTAATTATACTTACCATCAATTTAGTATTTGCATAAGCTTTAAAAGGGTTCCAGTAAGCACCTTTTTCAAGATTTAAATTATCGAAATCAATTTCACCCGTGGATTGTAATGCTGAACTAGTAAATGCAATTTTTCCAGGTAATTTGGTCGAAACGGATTTTTTCATCGTATCCAATAACAATAAAGTAAGTAAAAATGGTGCTAAATGATTGACCTAAAAATAATATACAGTATCAATTATACGTATATATATATATATATTATTATTATTATTATTATTATTATTATTGAACTATACCATAATTATTATTTACCTGAAATTGTTGTTCCAATCCATCTTTTGTATTAACAACTTCTGTACCACCAACGTAACCTGCATTATTTAATAACATATGTAATTCTCCAAATTCTTTAATAAATTTATTAGCAAAATTTTTTACACTTTTTAAATCTGCTAAATCCATTTCCCAAATTTCAACATTTTTTGCATTTCCATTAGAAATTTTAATATATTCTAATAAAGAATTTCCTTTTACTTTATTACGAGCTGTTAAAATCAATCGTTTTGGATTATATCCGGATAAAAGTCTTGCCATTTCTTTACCGATACCTTTTTTTTTAAAAAAAGAATAATAATATACGAAAGATTTTATTAGGTGAATTATAACGATCGATTTTCAAACGTAAAAAATTTTGAATGATTTGCGTAAAAATTATTTCGTGAATATTTAAATTAATTAATTAAATTAATTACCATCAGTTGCACCAGTAAGGATTATAACATATTGAGATAAATCGTAGTAGTTATCTAATTTGACAGACATTTTGTTTTTTTTAGGTTATCTTTTAAACGTTTGTAAAAAATATTAATTTTGTTGATATATTTGAAATTTTAAAAGATTTTAATTATTTTAAAGAGCTTAATTCTTTAAAAGATTTTGATTCTTTAAAAGATTTCAATTCTTTAAAAGATTTTGATTCTTTAAAAGATTTTGATTCTTTAAAAGATTTTAATTCTTTGGAAGATTTTAATTCTTTGGAAAATTTTAATTCTTTAAAGGATTTAATTATTTGAAAGATTTTTAGTTCTTTGAAATGATTATAATTTTTTAATTTGAAATGATTTTATTATAAAAAGAAAAGTAAAAATTGAAATCCTTTATATAATTTTTTTTTCGTAATACGAGTAAAAATAATTTGTAATGAACAAGAATTTATTGGAAAAAACTAAACCTACGTAACCTACGTAACCTACGTAAAACGATGCAAAAATAAGAATTCGGCGTACATCGGTAATATTTTACCGGTCATATTCCCTATAAAAAGTATTATACTTAAAATATATTTAAAATATATTTATAATATACTTAATTTAAAAATTGCAAAATACTTATAATATATTTTTAATATATCTAAAATATACTTAAAATTATCTTAAAATATATGTCTAGTATATTTAATTTTTGCCCATATACTTAAAATATACTTATAATATATTTCATAATATATTTTAAGTATATTTTAAGTATGTAAAAAATATATCTATAATATACTTAAATTTTAATTTAAGTATAATTTAAGTATATTTTAAGTATATGGGCAAAAATTAAATATATTAGAAATATATTTTAAGATAATTTTAAATACATTTTAAGTATATTATAAGTATTTCGCAATTTTTAAATTAAATATATTTTAAAAAGTTTTTAATTATATTTTAAATATAAATACTTTTATAAGGATACTGTATGAAAACATACCTTACTTGGATCGGATAAATGATGACCATGTTGAAATTTTGCCATTTCGTTCATTTCGTTCATTTAAAAAGCACATTCTCAATTGGTGAGTATAATGATAATTATATTATATTTATTTTCTTTCGATTGGTTATTTTTTAATTCTTCATTTTAAAAATTTTAAAAAAGTGAGTAAAAAAGTTTAGAACTATTACTATTACACTTAAAAAATATAGGTTACGGTACATTTCTCCGAAAGCCATTTCGCCGAAAGGACGTTTCGCCGAAAAATAGGGCCAACATTATGCAGAATTATAAATAACTCAGGCCAGAGATAATTTTTCGGCGAAATGTCCTGATACCAAAAATGGTATAAGCGGCTTAATCGTGTAAATGGTGCCGATCAGGAGATAATATTACGATATATGATTAATAAGAAATCGCAGTCGTCAATTGCCGAAAATTACGCCATGGACAGGTAAAAAAAATTGCAATATTTATTTGTTATTGTGCAATGCATAATAATTGTATACATATATAATTATGTACTGTATATGCAATTCTTAAACAAATATTACTAATGACAAGAATAATTTAAATCATTCCGTTATTTCGTTCAGAATATTCCATAAATTCCTTGTAACTTTTCGATCATTTACAATTTTATTTGGTACCCTTTCATGATAATATTCTTTAGAAAAGTACAATATTAAAATGCACTGAACTTGTAAATTTCATTATTATCGTTAAGATAAAATATCCGAATAGGTCAGACACGTTATTTAACATTATATCAGAATATAATTTTTAATATTTACATATTTGATGATTGTAAATGTAAAATATCTTTTTATTTTTTAACAAATCTAACGAAAAATTTAAAGCTGACGAAAAATTTGATCTTTAAAATAATACTTTAGTTACTTTCATTTTGAACTACACGCTAGTAGCTATAATACTGTAATTTTATTTTTAAAAAATGAAAAGCGTATTTAAATAAATATTTTATACGTACGTAAATCTTAATTATTAAATAATCAGATTTTATAAAAAAATAACTTTACCTTTAATTTAATATTCGCATAAGCCTGAAATAAAAGCACCTTTTTCAGAACTAGTAGTAAATGTGATATTAGTAAATGCAATTTTTCCAGGTGATTCAGCTTAAACTGATTTTTTCATTCTATAAAAATAATTGGCTGCTACACTCCGGACTAAAATATGTAGATGCAATACCGACGTAATTAATTATTACTCTTTTTTTCTTTTTTTTTATTACCTACAACATTAATTAACATGTGTAATTTCCTACTTATTTGCAATTTGTAAGTCGTTCAACGCTATCTACAATTCCGTTAGAAGATTTAATTATTTTCATACATTGTTTGATTTTTCTGATAAAGGCAATCGTTTAGAATTAAATCCAGATAAATTTCTTGCCATTTCTTTATTGATGCCTTAAAGCGTTAAAATAAAATAAACTATATTTGTTTAGTAATTTATAGTACACCGACAGTAAATTTCACAAAATGTATTATTATAATATCATCGGTCGCACTAACGTTTTGTTTTTATAGGCAAATAATAATAAGTTTTAACTTTAAAATATTAATTCTTTTTAAATATAAACGAACTTTTGTTACTCTTCTTTCTTTTAATTCTTTCGATACGATAGATCATATAAGTTTTTCGATGCAATTGATTGCTATCAGATGTCCACGCGCTAATCCATATATCCATATACCGTTATGGATAAGTTGTTAATCCGTTGACCGTACGTACACAATACGCGCTTGTCATAATTGTTAATCTCGACACTTACTAATTATATGAGTATTGCTAAATATCACCGTGATTGTCACCCTACCAGGAGGCAGAATTAAAAATGTCATAAAACTCCACCCATTAATATTTGCCGTACCACTAGTTTACGCCAAAATTAGTAATGGTACCATCAGTGTACTATCACCATGAGTCACATGTATAATACTTCCCACATTACATTGTGTTACATCAAACCATATCTCAGTTGACGCACATTACTTTGCTAAATATAAATACTGAACAAGAAGTAAGCCACTGTCTTATTGGATTGAGTCTGTGTTTTTTTTTATCTGAAAAATTTTACTGTAGTTATGGACGTATTTGGAGAGACTTGCGAGGAGGAGCGAAAATTCACGAATTTTATACGAAGCGTTCCTAGTGCCTTACAGGTGCGCGAGCCGCAGCACACACAGGATCTGCCATTGCTCCTTGAGTTAAATATCCATATCGCAAAGATGCAAACAAAAATATTTTGGATGACCGTGAGATCCGACTCTTCAACAAATTGTATGGCATTACTGATTTCCGCCTCATGTTTGTAACATATGATGATTCAGTCTTTTGGCTAGAAGGTTCTGATGGTGTTATTTATCTTTGGTCTCGCATAGATGATAGCATGATACGTGGAGGAGGTAATCTGAAAGAAGCTTTAACAAATTACCTTTTTAATCGTGAAAATCTTTGTTATGTTGATGAGTTTACTCGCGAATTGGTACCAATAAATGCATATGATAAATTAGTTGAAGAATGGAATAAGTCACCCGAGAAATATTTTGAGGAGATTGATGTAACTGAGATATTACAAAAGCATAGATCAGAAATGAGTGAAGAAGAGAAGCAACAAAAAAAAGAAAAAGAATGAAAAGCATTGACATGCTGTTTGTTTGATTTTAACACTTATTCAATTAAATCATTTGTAGAGTAGGCTGTATTGTATGGATTTCTTTATTTGCTAATTTGTATAAAGTAAAAGCATATGTAAATTTAAACTGCAAATTTATTAGAATTATAAATGCATACAGTAGTCACCAATATCTACGTATATCGATATCATTCCCACCCACACGGATCATATAAAGTTTTAAGCTCTGCGAGAGAACTTTAAGTAATTTCGAAACTATAGCATAAATTGGGGATTAGCAACTGAGGTAAAAAATTTCACAGCATTTGATTATATTATACTATGTAATACCATTTCTTGCTCCTATTTCAAAATTCTTATAATACGTACAGTGTGTATAGTTTTAATAAATAGTAAGTATTCGAACATTAATTGATTTAGTTTACATGACATGATTAGTATTCACTCCGTTCATAGCTCGGTTAGATTAGAGATTTTTTGTGATCAAGGGAAAGTCTATGTGATATAAGATTTTAGCACTTTTTTTGTCATCAGGACTAATGCCTAGTTTCCATTCTAAGAATCTCGTTACAAATGCAAACAAATGAAACGGACTATTGTGATGGTACAATGAACAGAACATAGCGAATATCGAATTTCAATTACATTTTCTTTATAATTCTTTGGATTACCTTTTTGTTTTTTGTCATAGTAGAGGATGATGAAGGTTGTTTGCCCTTATAACGTCTTTTTTCTAGAACATATATGTTGATAAATTCGTAAATAAAAAATTTCAAGTAGTTCTGTAGTGATTGTTCGGTTCCAGGAGTGATGTTGCCCTAAAGAAAATGCAGAATGTCTAAGGTATTACTAAATCATAATATCAATATTACTTAATATTAATTAATAACAATTTCAACCAAAATGCTGATCAGTAAGAATAAAAAATTTACTACGCGTTTTTTTAGGACTGTAAATAAATTTCTGCTGGAATTATCTGACTAATGCTGGTGCGCTGAAAATCACCTGCGCCCTGCGGTGAGATTTAGCATGCCCATGATGCCCATGATATAACTCTTCTTTTGTATGATAATAGCGTTTATTAATTAAGATGTAACACAATGTCGCATATACAAATAAATAAAAATGAAAATCAAATCTAAATCATTCCATGATTTTTTAAAATTTTTTCAGAAACATCCCACAATTTTTTTGCAACTTCTTGATCATACGCAACTTTATTTGGCTCTTCAACACCATCCTTATAATACTTTCCCGTTTCTTTATTTTCGTGAGAAAATACAGGATAAAGAACGTTGATGGCACCTTGTTCAGTCGTTATTTCAACCCTAGATATTATTAATAATATGTAAAGGAGATAATTTAAATAGTTTCTATTCAAATGATTTATATTTGTTATAATTACTCCAGGATGAAGCGAATATGTTGTAATATCTGTATATTTAAAAAGAAAAAGAATTAGAATATTTTTCTTACTGATAGTAAGAAATGGGTTTAACTATACTTACTTTCGTTTTGAACTATGCGACTTAATTCCTTTGTAACAAGAACATTCTAAAATAAATAAATAAATAAATAAATTATATATAAATAAAACTTCATTATTAAATTAATAACTATGCTTACCATCAATTTCGTATTTCCATAAGCTTGAAAAGGATTCAAATAACTACCTTTTTCAAGATTTAAATTATCAAAATCAATTTCGCCAAATTTATTGGCTTCTGAACTAGTTAAAGCAATTTTTCCAGGTAATTCAGCAGAAACTGATTTTTTCATCGTATCCAATAACATTAAAGTAAGTAAAAATGGTGCTAAATGATTGACCTAAAATTGATATATAAAATGTATAAATGTTAAAAACGAAACAAACGAACTTGCAAAAAAATAAATAAATTACTTGAAATTGTAATTCAAAGTTATCTTTCGTTTTAATGATTTGATTTTGTACGATTATACCTATAAAATATATATCAATTAATTAAATATATATTAACGCGATTAAAAATTCCCTATTATTAATTATTTCCTTTACCCGCATTCAGTTATTAATTAAGATATGTAATTCTCCAATTTCTTTGATGAATTTATTAGCAAATTTTTTTACACTTTGTAAATCTTCTAAATCCATATCCCAAATTTCAATATTATTTATATGTCCATTAGAAAATTTAATATATTCTAATAAATTATTTCCTTTTACTTTATTGCGAGCTGGTAAAATCAATCGCTTTGGATTAAATAGTGATAAAATTCTTGCCATTTCTTTACCAATGCCTTAAATAATACAAAATATAAGTGATTGAATTATTCGAAGTGGAAGTGTATATGTTGAATTTATTTACCATAAGTTGCACCAGTAAGAATTATAACATGTTTTGATAAATCGTAGTTATTTAATTTAACAGGCATCTTTTTTTTTTGAAGTTAATTGTTCGAGGATTTAAACTTTTTTCAAGTAGGTATTTTTGAACTTTATATAAGCTATAATTAAATAAAATTCAATTTGATCATAGCATGTGAAGATAGGCCTGTAATTTATTAATTACGCTTTCTCGTTGATTGATGATTTGCATGATTTTCGTCTGAATGTTACTAAAAAAAAAGATCACCCGAAAAAATAATCTTTGGCCTGAGTTATTCATAATTCTGCATGATGTTGGCCAAATTTTTCGGCAAAACGTCCCGATCATCATCCGTCATCCGAAAAATCCGCCGGATTCGGGAAATTCGACGGGATATCCGAAGGATAATCAAAAAAACAAATTTGTGATATTATTATTGATGGACATTGTCCATTATTCAATTATCCGAGAAATCCAATCCGGTATTATCATAAATCCGAATTTTTTTAGCGGATATCCGTAATCCGACGGATAGCGGTTTAAGATATTCCACAACTTCTACACAACTATTTGTCTTTATTTTGTTCTTAATTCAACGGTTTTTATTTATACTTTTAAATATAAAAAATAAATGGAAAATATACTAAAATGAAAACGACAGATTCTAACAAGTTATTTCTCTTATTACGGCTTGAATAATAGGACGATTTAGATGTTTTTATTAAATCAAATGTCATAAACGAAAATGAGGATAAAATACGAACTTTTTAAAAATTTACTTTTCAATAAATTCGTTTAATTGATAAGATAATAATTTATAAGGTAATAATTTATAAGGTAATAATTGATAAGATAAATAGATATGATGATAATAATATTGTACGTTAACATAAAGAAAATTTGTTATAAAAAGAATAATAATAAGAAAACTAAACTTTAGATCATTCCATGATCTTTTAATATTTGTTCAGAAACATCCCACAATTTCTTTTCAATTTCTTGATCGTAAGCGATTTTATTTGGTTCATCCTCAATTCCTTCATTATAGTATTTTCCCGTTTCGAGAGAAAATACAGGATAAAGAACGTTGATGGCACCTTGTTCAGCTGTTATCTCAGCTCTAATTACTTTTGTAAGAATTTTAAATATAGAAGCAAATAAAGGGCTACTCAATTGAGTAATATTTGTATGAATTATACCAGGGTGAATTGAACATGTTGTAATATCTATATATATTTAAAAGAAAAGGGTTAAAACAAATTTTTTTCTTATATGATAATAAAAATAATTTTAATACTTACTTTCACTTTGAACCATACGACCTAAATGCTTAGAAATAATAATCTCCTTTTTTTTTTAAAGAAAAATTAAAAATATATAAATAAATAAAAAGATTTTATTATTTAAATAAACAATCTTTGATATCGCTTACCATCAATTTAGTATTTCCGTAACCTTTAAAAGGATGCCAAGAATTATTTTTTTCAAGGTTTAAATTATCAAAATCAATTTCGCCAAATTGATTGGACACTGAAGTAGTAAATGCAATTTTTCCAGGTAATTCAGCGGAAACCGATCTTTTCATCGTATCCAATAACAACCAAATGAGTAAAAATGGTGCCAAATGATTAACCTAAAAACAATATATAATAAATGTTAAAAGTGAAACAAAGTAACAAACGATTTGCGAATAAAAATAAATAAATAAATAAAATAAATAAATTACTTGAAATTGTAATTCAAAGTTATCTTTTGTTTTAATGACTCGACTTTGTACACTTACACCTATAAAATATATCAAAAAAATAAATGGACTGACTTTCTAATGAAGTAAGTTGACTTTTCACAACTATAATTTCATTTCAAACAGCATTGATTTGATCGACAGTATTATTTTTAATTTTTTATTACCTGCATTATTAATTAAAATATGTAATTCCCCAACTTCTTTGATGAATTTATTAGCAAAATTTTTTACACTTTGTAAATCGCCCAAATCCATTTCCCAAATTTCAACATTATTTACATGTCCGTTAGAAGATTTAATATATTCTAATAAATTATTTCCTTTTTCTATATTACGAGCTGGTAAAATCAATCGCTTGGGATTAAATCCAGCTAAAATTCTCGCCATTTCTTTACCGATGCCTTAAAATAAAATAAAAGAATTTATGTTATATTAAGCATAATTTTAATTTTAAAAAAAATTTTTTTTTTTTTACCATCGGTTGCACCAGTAAGGATTATAACATGTTTTGATAAATCGAGGTTATCTAATTTAAGTGGCATTTTTTTTTTTTGAAATTTAAGATTAAAGAATTTTTTTTTTTTCAAAAGTGAAAATTTTTGAGCTTTATATAGAATATTTTCAATTATAAAAAAATCCCTGCCGCGACGGTGACGTTAAGACTACCCTGCATATTTAAATTGGATCGTCCATTATGTGTCTGCTACGGATTTTTATATAGGATTTGCAGTGGCGCATTAGGCGTATTATTTAACTTAATTGGGTCAGGCCATAATCCCAATGTGCGCTGAATTAGGCTTCATAAAGAAATGAAAATACAATATAAAAAATTAATGAAATTTTTCACATGAGAAATCATCATTGGTTTTTTTTAGAAATCGTCATCGTTTTTTATTAATTTTTGGGATTTCCCACACAACACAACAAAAAAAACCTTTTAACACCTTTTCTTTTAAAAAAAAATTTTACGCTTAAATTTTTAATTTCTAATGCCTGTACAGCTCTCAACAATTCTTTATATTTCGGAATATAGAGAGAAAACGCCAGGTGAATTCTTCATAGGAATAGCCATTCGATATACAAGACTTGAAGGTGACTCAGATGCTGCTCAACTGAAATATTTAATATTATAGTGTTTACTCTCTTGACGAAAATTGGAAGAAGGACAACGTTGTAGGCAAGCTTTGGTATCAGATTCAGTACTTTTTACAAATCTTGACACAATTTGAAAATATCATCTCAGGCTATATGGCTAAAGGTAAACCAACTGAGATTCCAATCATATTATTTCATTCAAATGGAAACTGCTAAAAAAATCAGACTACAATGTTAAACGTGGATCTTCCATTTTTTTTCAGATGCTTTAACATCAATTGAAGGAAAGTTTTATTTAGAACTACATAATTTTAGTTTTATTTGTATTAACAATCAAAATTTTATATCAAAATCTACCAAGGAAATGCCCTGGTATTCTACATCATCATCTTCACCGCCACATGAGCCACAAAATCTGCAATCCATAAAAAAATTCAAGAACAGCACCTGTACTAGGAAAACATGAAATTACTACGAAAAAATTTCAGCCAAGTAAATTGGCTAGTGAGGAAATAATTAATTTAAGTAGGGAATACAAAATATTATAAATTATTTATTAGTTACTTGGCATTTCACATTGGCGAAGTGCCGAGTAACTGCGGTATTCAATGTGATTGGCGGAAACGATAGTGCTGCGTTTATGAGGCCAAGATTAGCCGAGTGGCCGAGCTGTTTTATAGGGGTTTACCAAAATAATTAATTGAAATTACTGTAATAAAATTATTTATAAATGGTAGTTTATTACAATAGTTTTATAATTAAATCTATAAATAATCTAATTTCGGATTTTTTATTAACCAAGATATTTCTTTTTATTTCTCTAATGTAATAATGTAAATTTTTTCCGTAAAAAAAAATTATGAAATGCCTAAAATATCTACCAAATGAAAATCATTTAACTTTTATTTATACAACTATAGCACGCTGTAGTGTTACATAGTAGAACGAGATTCGGCTAGCGGATTTTAAAATAACTTCATTAATTTAACTGTTAACGTACAGCCTCTCTTGGAGCGTCCGCTGTAGCAACAAATAAGACAATAATTCTACTATAATCGACTGAACTAGAAATTCAATTCGTTTATAATTATTCTAAAGGGATTTACATGCGGAAAATGTACAAAGGTAATAGGATGTTCGGTAACCATTATGTAAATATTGGTAAAATATAGAGTATTTTTATTATTGGATTACTTTATCATGAATTACTAAAAGCTAGACTGCTAAAAGGTTGAATGTTTATGAAATAATATGTAACTTATTAGAAAAGTCAATGAGATTTTATAGCAACGTACCACGAACTGAGGAATGCTCGTTATGCTATTACTCCATAATGCGTATTTTCTTCCAAACTGCGGTCCGAGGAGAACGTGCGGGTGCTTATAAACGAGAATTCATTTAAGTCGGACGAGATTCAATTATAATAACATGCTTTTATAATAAAAATATATCTACTATACAGTATATCAGATATCAACTAAAATAAATACGCTTACTTTCCATGTTATCGTTTTGGTCAGTTCCTGTTGTAGTTGAATTAAACACAATTTTTTCTAGTTTATTGCCGATTCTAAACCGTGAAGCATAGTTTTAATATATTAGACTTATTTGTTTTTGATTGCAACTAGATATTAATTACTTCAGAAATTAGAAATCACTTTAAATAAGCTCATGAATGAAAAAAAATATTCTTTTGATGTCATCATCAGTATTGGGGTTGTTTAAAGGTTAAATTGGTATGTTGAATAAGGTATTCTATTTTAGGGAGTGTTATTTGTATCTAACGTGATCGTGAATTAATTTTTTGTTTTCATGATGTTATAATGGTGGTAAACTATTGATTTAATTTTTGAAATGATTTGATGATGTCTATCAGAGGCGTTAATGTATGGATCCGTTCACCTTTCCAGTCCTTTCCTGGATGAGGACACTACTGCATTCGTTAATGATCCGTTGATGTCTAATGCAGCATTGTTGGTTTCTAATTCTTGATTAATTAGAGCTTTGTATTTTCTTTATTGATTTTAATTTTAGTGAAGTCGTAAAAGGGATTGGCGATTGATAATTTTTTCATTAGCTTGCGACAATGAAGATGAAAACTATGTCGTGTCATCTAAATATCCCACTAAAGATGTGGCAAATTCGTATGTAATATCTTTTGAGCGGTCGTTGATGTTTCTGATACGAGTCGATGAAGTATGATAATGTAAATCGGTCTGTTCGTTGATTTTTTGAAATAAGTGGTCGTAATAGAGGTTCCGGAGTAAAGGAGAAACTACCTTTCCTTGATCTAAACCTTGTAGAACGTTATATTGATTACCGTATAGCGCTGCATACAGTACCCCCTTGTAATAGTACCCCTTTCAAATAGTACCGGGGTATTATTCAAATTCACATTCGGGTATTTTTGAAAAATACCCCGGTACTAATCAAAATTCGATTTTCCAATATACCCCCTTTTAATAGTACCCCCTCCTCCTATAGTATCCCCCCGAGTATTATTCAATCTAAGCGGACTTTCTTGAATAGTACCAGGGTACTATATGCAGCGCTATACGGTAGATAACCCTTTAGGTAGAATGATTTTATTAATTCTATTAGTGAAAAGGTCACAAAAAAAATTAGTAATGTGATTAGGTAAATTCACTCTTTGTAATGCCCAATCGAAGAATAGATATGTACGATCACAAGCTTTTGATAGGTCTTGTAGGATGATCCATAATTCGTTGTTTTTGTTAAGTCTTGATTGTTCGATTATATGTTGAATCATAAAAAGAGGCTCTAGCGTAGATTTCCTGAAATTCCCGCTTTGTTATTGTATTCCAGTATGTTTCGTGTTGATATAAGACATTGTTAAGTTTAATTGTGAATATTTTAACTAATAGTTTACGTGGAGTTTCCAATAGTGTAATCGGTCGTGTATTGATTAATTGACAATTCCAGTCGAACGGTTTAGGATTGGAAATAGCAATGCTTCTTTCCAAGCATTGGGAGTTGTTTCAAATTTAAGGTATGCATTATAAATGTATGAAAGTATTTCTAAAACCGATTTGTCTAAATGTATTAGGTCTTCGTAAGTGACTCCTGACGGTCCTGAAGGTTTCCTCTATTGAGATTTTTCTTGGTTATGATGATATCTTCCACTGTTATCGCTTTGTTAAAACAGTCCCAATATTCTTGGTTAACTTTCTTGGTATATGTTTTGCCACACTTCCGGCAACCAAACGGAATAGTATTATATTTAGTAGAGTCATTTGTAGATTTCTTGGTTTACGTTCTAGAATTGATTTTATCATTTTCGTTTGATTTTCTGTAAGGTTGCTGTTTCGTTGGTTGATGTAGAAATTAATTTTGTCGGTTTGCCATTTAGATAATTGATAATTTAAGAGTGTTTACATTTTTTATATAATAATCATGTAATAATCATGTGATTTGTCGGTTTGTATTTTAGGCCATAAAAATGATGTAACTAAGCATCCAACATCCATTGGCTAATTTTCATGCACCTGTCTTATATAGTCGCGTATTTTTTATTTGGAATGTTAGTATTTTTTAATTGGAATTTTTTTTATTTTTTTTTATTGTAGTCGCGACGAAACCTTTTCATTTTTTTTTATTGTAGACGCTTTAAAACTTTATCACTTTTTTTTTATTGTAGGACCCACAAGATACTTCGAAACCTTTTTTTTTTTTTTGTAAGATCCTCAAGACACTTCGAAACTGACAAAACGCCTTGGAAGGCACTTTAAAGAGACAGAGTGTGTTTTTCTTTTCTGTAGTTTTTTTATAATCTGCTAACCATCAACAACAGGATACTTTCATTCTAGGGAGTCGTTAGAGTCGTTAGTTCATTATATAGTATGTATAGTATGAACTAACGTCTGGTTATAATTTGCTTTTGTAGATGCCAGTTAATCGAAAAAGCTTTATGCAACGTGCTAGAAAGACTGTGAGAGATATGGTTAGGGCTCGTGAACACAGGAACCGTATTAATGGTATCTCTACCGTTGGGAATATCTCCAACTCTCAATTCGTTGAACGAATTGCTTCCAATAACACAGGTAGGTTTTCCATACAGGCTTTAATTAACTATGAAATCCGCATATTTACGGGTTATGGTGTGCCATACATTTCCGTGTACGTAGATAGGATCCCTATTTAGCTTTTTTGTCCTAGGCTTAACTACAGGACAGCACACATCAACAGCAGATACAATAAGGAATTGGTTCACTAACTTTTGGAAATCAATTTTGTAGAGTTTGAACCTCATATTAGAAGAGATAGCGCTACAGACCAGAGTGAAGTAGATGCTTCTACAGTGGCTGCTGGACAAGAAATTCAGTTGGTATTTTATACATGTAGGAGAGGGCATGATAATCATATATCTTTGGAAAATGTTGAGAGGTGTCATAGACATATTGTCTATATATGTTCTTTGTACTGTATAGGGAAGAATTTTTATATAGAGCAATGATGGCATTTAAGTGTGATGTGCAAGAGGGTATAGAAATAATTTCTAAGTATTATAGAGCGTGAATATCATATCCTCTGTGCTGGCTTTAGATAGGCACAGTACGATATGGCGGTCCTATAAGGCCAGGCCGCCCAAACACCTTTAAGGTTGCGAATCTAATGTCAGTTGGTGCAGTCGGTGCACGGTACACCGCAGCCGATGGCTGACGCTAACATGAAGCTGAATTAATATTACTATGTCAGCGAAGTCACATTTTAGCAGAGAACTCCGTAATATAAATAACATCTGCCGTCTAAAAAATAGATCAGCAGATGTTAGCGGATTAGCTAATCAGATCATGTTAGACGGTTGCGGCGGTAGTTACGTAACAAGATTATCTACAATATAGTTTTGAAATATATAATTTTACTGGTAGTATTGGCTACCGGAATTAAGAAATTATACAAAGATAAAGCTAGTGGAGAGCTTTACTAGCTTTACTACAAGGCCGGGACGCGATGTCAGTCACATAGATATGCATGACAGGGTGATGCTGCATATGATTGGTGAAAAAATTTTGAGATATCTGCAATTTTAGCCTAAGATCTTACATTTTAAGTCTTTTTCTTGAATAATGTAAGAGCTTTCTATGAACATTGAGGATGCAATATTTACCAATCAATTTTTCTGTAGTGTACCGACTCCGTTGTTTCGGACTGGCACATTGCAGCACATACTTTTTTTTTTGATAGACACCTATGATGGATAATCAGTGATCGGCGGAGACTCATTCGATAAATACTTCTAATAAATACTCCATGTACACCGATGCTCCAAGGCATCGGTGAATCCCGAATACGAAATTCAGGTAAAATATCCAAAATATCATTATTTGTGTAATGATTACGCCGTTATGGTACGTTTCACCGAAATCGAAACCAATTTCGCTGAAGCCATCTTGCCGAAATGAGGTTTCTCCGAAAGGGAATTTCATTAAATAGAAGTTTTGCCGAATGGATATTTTGCCGAATTCCATTTTAATGTTTAATTTTCTTTTTTATATGCATTTATTTATCATGATTGCTTAATTGAAGATTTATTCGAGTTTTAAAAAAAAAAAAAATAGAAAAATAAAGTTGTTTCGGTGAAATTGTCCATTCGGCGAAATGGTTTCAAAATGTCCATTCAGCGGAGATATATGTACGTTTATTATAAAAAAAAAAAAAAATCCATTCAGCGAAATGGCTATTGGATGAGATGACACTTTGGCGAAAATTTATTTCAGTGAAATGACTTCGGCGAAATGGGTTTTGGTAAAATGGACTTCAGCGAAAAGTCCGGATACCAATTGAATTGTTATACTGTACATAATTGTTAAATTTAATGACAGCATTATTTAAGTAAGTGATTATTGTTCTTTGGTCATATGTGGGCCGTTTACTATAAAAACAGAATATCCATGAATTTTTAATATTCATAAATTGGAATTTATTTCTTTTTATACGATAAAATTAATTATACGATAAAATTAATTTATTTGATAATACTACGTAACATAGAGAAGTTGTTATAATAAACAAACAATTTTTTTTTTTTTAAAAAAAAATAATAAAAATCAACTTTTAAATCATTTCATGATCCTTCAATATTTGTTTAGAAACATCCCATAGTTTCTTTGCAATTTCTTGATCATTTGCAATTGTATTTGGCTCCTCTTCTATTCCTTCATTGTAATATTTTCCTGTTCCTTTATTTTCGAGAGAAAATATAGGATAAAGAACGTTGGTGGCACCTTGTTCGGCTGATATTTCAGATCCAGATAATTTTATAAAAATTTTAGCTAGAAAGTTCGCGAAGGCGCCATTCAAGTGACCAATATTTGTTTGAATTATCCCAGGGTGAATCGAATATGTTGTAATATCTATATATTTAAAAGAAAAAGAATTAAAAATGATTTTCTTACATGCCGACAAAAATAAGTTTAATACTTACTTTCGTTTTGAACCAAACGACTTAATTCTTTGGCAATAATAACATTCTTGTTTTATTAATAGAAATAAAAGTATATAAATAACCAAAGATTCTTTAATAAAAAAAACAGACTTTAATATACTTTAATATACATACCATCAATTTAGTATTCCCATAAGATTTAAGAGGATTCCAGTAGGCGCCTTTTTCAAGATTTAAATTATCGAAATCAATTTCGCCAACTTTATGAACATTTGAACTAAGTAATGCAATTTTTCCAGGTAATTCGGCAGAAACTGATTTTTTCATCGTATCCAATAACAATAAAGCGAGTAAAAATTGTGCCAAATGATTGACCTAAATAATGTGCAAATGTTAAAAAAAGTGAATAATATACAAACAAAATTGAAAAAAAAAAAATTAATTACCTGAAATTGTATTTCCAAGTTATCCTTCGTTTTAATGACTTGACCTTGTAAGCCTACACCTAAAAGATGTTCAAAAAACGTGGTTAAAAAAAGCTCTTCTTTTTTTTTATTTTTCAATTTTATTTTTCTTTTTTATTTACCTGCATTATTAATTAAAATATGTAATTCTCCAACTTCCTTGATGAATTTATTAGCAAAATCTTTTACACTTTGTAAATCGGCCAAATCCATTTCCCAAATTTCAACATTATTTACATGTTCATTAGAAGATTTAATATATTCTAATAAATTGTTTGCTTTTTCTTTGTTACGAGCTGGTAAAACCAATCGCTTGGGATTAAATCCGGCTAAAATTCTTGCCATTTCCTTACCAATGCCTTATAATAAGAAGAATAAAAGAATTAATATTTTATTAAGTATAATTAATTTTGAGAAAAAATATTTACCATCGGTTGAGCCGGTAAGGATTATAACGTATTTTGATAAATCGAGTTTATCCAATTTAACTGGCATTTTTGAAATTTACAAATTAAAGAAATTTTTTTTTTTTTTCTCCTCGAGAATTTCGAGCTTATTTTAAGTAGAGTTTTTAATTAAGTCTAATACAGTGTCATTGAGGAAAAATTCGGATAAGTGTAACATTGAATAATGGACTTAACCAGTTAAATTTTCGACAAAGTGAACCTATTTTTGATTAATTAATTGTTAAACATATTCAATTAATATTGTTATTTCGGTATTGAAACTTTAAGTTTGGGAACATGTGACCACAATTACAGAATTAGGATTAAGGACTTAAGGTGTGGTTTCAGCTAGTTGGTACAATAATAAAATGGAAAATTAATTAACCGTAGTCTTGGCAAAAAATAGTATGGTTGGCGCTGTTGTGTTGATATTTACTAAAAGTTTATTTCTTAAAAAAGTAATTATTATGTACGCAATGACATATGTATTAGTAATAAAAAATGAAAAAAACTAAGAGGGTTGGTACGAAATCCCTGAAACTCAAGATACCTACAAGTACACTATCTTAACATCCCAAATCCTGAAATTTTATAATCCCAAATTCCGAATCCCATAATTCCCAACAAAATCATAATCCCAAAATGTCTTCTAGAAATTTTTAATCCCGATACAAAAAAACCCGACACTTTATATACCGAAATACAACACGTAAATTTTCTCTTTCTATATTTTACTAATTATGAAATTATTCATATAGTTTATTAATTTTGAAATAACTACGTTTAACTGGAGGGAAATTCTCACCCTATTAGTGTTAGGGGTTAGGATTAGAGTTAGGTTAGGTTAGGGAGGTTAGGTTTATTTATCACAACGTATCACACTCCGTTGACTTCATTTTTGTTAATTAATCTGAGGACTTGAAAATTTTCATTAAATTTATTATTAATTTAATTTTTAAAATGACGATTTCAAAAATCAAAACAATGTCTTTTTAGACATTACTAAATCTCAGGTGATTCTCACCGTACCAGCATTAGCAAATATTAACGGGCAGAGTTTCGTGACATTTTTAATTCTGCCCAAAATTTATCCTAATTCAGGTAAGGTGCCAATCACCAACGGTGATATTTAGCAATACCTCTTCCTTACAGAAATCTCATTATTATTTTAAACGATTATCAAAATAATATCGTTTTGATTATTTGATATCATTATGATATCGTCACAATATAGCTATTATACAATATCAAAATGATATTGAATAATATCGTAGTGATATTGTTAGCGATATCGTTAAGATTATCTTAACGACTTTGTTTTGATATTTATTATAAGATATCAACACAATGTCATTATAATATTATATTTATATCGTAACGGTAAGTGATATTGTGATGATATTGTAATGAAATTGTTTTGATATTGTTATTGTTACAATATCAAAATGGGGTCGTTAAGATGATCTTAACGATATTGTTTGAAATTTAGGGTTTCAATAAAGTTTTTTTTTTCCTATAAATAAAATAAAAATAAATTTCACAATAAATGCTAAGCGATAACGATAGAATTTTAATTGCAGTATTTTGTCTTTCGGGCTTATAAAGTATCGGCATTATAAAATTTAGGTATTGTGACTTTCTCAGGATTATGAAATTTGGGTCGATTATCTTTCGAGATCATATATACTATGGAATTATGGCTTGAAAATTCGGGATTTGGGCATTTAGATGTCAGGATAATACTGTATAATGTACTGTCGAAATTTTGAGTTTCGGGATTTGAGCGACCGAATCTCCTTAGCGATAACGAGTTGTACGAGTATAAATTATTAAAACCGAATTGTAGTGTAATTGTTATACATAATTATGGTAGCATTATTTAAGCAAGTGATTACTATGAAAACATGAAAACAGAAAATTCATGATCTTTTAATATTCATAAATTGGAATTTATTTCTTTTGTACGATAGAATTAATTTATTTGATAAGATAAAATGTTACTACGTAACATAGTAGAGAAGTTTTATAATATTAAAATTTTTTTCTTAAAAAAAAAATTGAACTTTAAATCATATTGTGATCTTTTAATATTTGTTCAGAAACATCCCAGAGTTTTTTTGCAATTTCTTGGTCATATGCAATTTTATTTGGCTCATGCTCAATTCCTAAATTATAGTATTTTCCTGTTTCTTTAATTTCGAGAGGAAATATAGGATAAAGAGTATTCATGGCACCTTGTTCGGATGATATCTTAAGCCTAAGTATTGATACAAAAATATTGAATAAAACGTTTGAGATGGTATAATTCAAGTGACCAATATTCGTTTGAATTACACCAGGGTGAAGCGAATATGTTGTAATATCTACATATTTAAAAGAAAAGAGTTAAAAATATTTTTCTTTCATGCTGTAAAAAAAATGATTTTTTTTTTTTTATATTACTTACTATCGTCTTGAACTAAACGGCCTAATTCCTTGGCAACGATAACATTCTTTTTTTAAAAAATAATAATATAAATAAAATAAAAATTTTTAATAAGATTTTACTATTAAAAATGAAATTTAATTTAAATAATTACCATCAATTTCGTATTTCCATAGGCTTTAATAGGATTCCAGTAATTACCTTTTTCAAGGTTTAAATTATCAAAATCAATTTCTCCAAACTGATTTGCTTCTGAACTAGTTAATGCAATTTTTCCGGGTAATTCGGTAGAAACTGATTTTTTTATTGTATCCAATAACAATGAAGTAAGTAAAAATGGTGCTAGATGGTTGACCTAAAATAATGTATATAAATATTAAAAAGAGATTTCAAGCAAACGAGAAAACAAAAAGAAAATTAATCACTTGAAATTGTATTTCCAAGTTATCCTTCGTTTTAATGATTTGATTTTGAACGCCTATACCTACAAAATATATCAAATAAATAAATAAATAAGCTCGATTAAAAAAGTTACTGTTATTATTTTCATATTCATTTATTATTATTACCCGCATTATGAATTAGAACATGTAATTCCCCGACTTCATTGATGAATTTATTAGCAAAATTTTTTACACTTTGTAAATCTGCTAAATCCATTTCCCAAATTTCGACATTATTTGCATGTCCGTTAGAAGATTTAATATATTCTAATAAATTATTTCCTTTTTCTTTATTACGAGCTGGTAAAACCAATCGTTTTGGATTAAATCCAGCTAAAATCCTTGCCATATCTTTACCGATACCTTAAATAATATAAAATGTAAGTGATTGAATTATTTGAAGTGCATAAGTTGAATTTATTTTACCATCAGTAGCTCCAGTAAGAATTATAACGTGTTTTGATAAATCGAGCCTATCTAATCTAACTGACATTTTGAAGTTGACGGCTTAGAACTTTTTTCAAGTAAGTTATTTGAGTCGAATTATTTGTATTTGAGCTTTAAATAATTTAAGAAGCCGAGTTATTTGTATTTGAGCTTTATATGATTTAAGAAGCGCCATATATATTATTGTACAATATATTAATTAATTGAATGAATATTCTTAATGGATAAGATCGACGAAATACCGACTGTCATAATATTGATAGAAAATGATGGAATAAACGTAATTATGCTGACGAAGTCTAATGGTTTGATCTGCATGCACAATAAATTAAAGTGTAACTAAATAAGAGCATAAGACTTACGGTACGTATTAAACACAAGTTGAAGAAATTAACTATGCTTTATTAGGATGCGGTAAATTCAAAGAGATCAATCTACACATATTCGGGAATGAATTATTACCGATACCGATAGCGAAAAAAATTTAATAATTTGAACATCAGAATTTTAAATTTCAAGAGTATATTTTTATCTAGGGGTGTTAGCGGCCCGGTCTTCAGGCAGATTTTGGATCCAACGGATATCGGACTATTAATGGTGAAAGTCCGAACTTTATATATAGTTTATTTTAAGTTTTTAATTAAGCTGTGTCATCAACGATAACAAGTATATGAAAATCGTTCTTCTCATACGATCAAATTGCGTGATGTATCTGCGCCCAATAGTTATAATCATGGTCATGCGTCCGGTTAATCGGATATTTATTTTGCTAATGATAATCATTGTCTCATTGACCCATTGAGCGTATGTATTTGTAATTTGTTCAATTTGTCCTTGCAATTGACCATCATATAATGGGCTTTTTTTTCTTTATTATTTTATATATATATATATATTTCGGTTCTTATAACCGGGAAATTTATTTATTTTTTTAAAATACTTTTTCCGGTTCTTGTGGGCCGAAATTTTTCCTGAAATTTTAAATTTCTTTTTTTTTTTTATTCAAACCGAAAATAATTTCTTTAATTGGTCAAAAGTTGAATTTTTTTATTATTAATTTTATTTTATTTACTTATCAATTTTTTTATTATTCATTTTTCACTATATTTATTTATAATTAATTTACCTAAGTATTGTTCAAGATTTAAACTCATTAATCCTGTTGCAACGCAACAGGTTACAGCCAGTAAATTACTAATTTTGTATAATTGATGAAATTTTTTTTTTGTACGATAAGTCTATGCAACTTTATTTGGCTCATCTTCAATTCCTAACCTAATTATTATTGTAAGAATTTTGTGTAAAAAATTTGAGATGGCATAGTTCAAGTGACGTCAGGTTGAAGCGAAGCGAATATATTGCAATATCTGCATATTTAAACGTAAAAAAGTTGATATTATATAATTCGTAAAAAAATTTAAATAAAATTTTTACTAATTTTTACTATTAAATTAAATGAAAATTCAGCCGATTTCATATAGGAATTCGATTGTACGACTTCTCATTGAAATTATTAATATATCCTTAACGATAGTTCTTTTCCATTTTGTCAATATTGAGATATGCTTAGTAAATGAAATATTCCTTAATGGTCTGATCTTTTGATCCTCATGCATAAATAGGAGTATAAGATTTAAAGTATATATATGATATGCAATATTGGGAGTTAATATTATTCGTATAATAATTTGAACATCAGAAATTTTAAACAAATTTCGATTTATTTTTTACCTTGGGATGTTAACGGCCCGGTCTTAAGACAGATTTTGAATCCGGCAGAATTAATTTTTCAAAAATTTGAACTTTATACAGTCAAACTTCGATGTACCGATACTCTATATACCGATAATTGCTTTTACCGATAAATTTTTGTTGTCCCGTTTCATCACTAATAAAAAAAACCTCATTATACCGATATTAAATATAATTTCGCGATGTAATGTATACCGATACAACCTCCTGGTCCCTTTATAGTAATGTATATTAAGATGTACCAATAATTTTGGTTACACTAGTGTTAATTCCGGCCGGCACTATAAGTTTGGCCTGAGTTAAAAAATTGTAACTTTAAAATTTGAGCATCCTTCTTAATTATGTCCGGAATTGGATTTTTTTCTATTCACATTATACATAATATATTAAAGAAATTTTGGAAATTTTGAACTTGGAATTAAGTATAGTGCGAGCCAGAGTTAGATTTTGGCCTGCATTATAATCTACTAATTACATATATGTACCGATATTTCAATGTACCGATACTTTTTACCAATACCGGAAGCATCGGTATATCGAAGTTTGACTGTATACAGTTATTTTAATCTTAATTAAAAAACTAAATGTCATTAACGATAACGAGGATGATAAGCGTGACGGTTGAAAATCGGGTTTCTCATACAATTATTCATAAATTACTAATTTTGTTACAACTTAATATTGTGGATTAATTGATAGTAAATTGGGATTTATTTCTTTTTGTATAATAAAGTTATTTTATTGACAATTTGACTAAGTGACAGAAAAAATAAATAAAAATATAGAAATAAAAAAATTATTTTTATCTTTAAAAAAAAAATCGAACTTTTAAATCATTCCATGATCTTTTAATATTTTTTCAGAAACATCCCATAGTTTCTTTGCAACTTCTTGATCATTAGCAACTTTATTTGGTTCCTTTTCAATACCTTCATCATAATATTTTCCCGTTTCTTTATTTTCGAGAGAAAATACGGGATAGAGAGTATTGATGGCACCTTGTTCAGCTGTTATTTCTCCGCTTATTCTTATAAGAAATCTAAATATAATATTCGAGAAGGAGCTATTTAAATGACTTATATTCGTTTGAATTACACCAGGGTGAAGCGAATATGTTGTAATATCTACATATTTAAAAGAAAAGAGTTAAAACATTTTTCTTTCATATTGTAAAAAAATGAATTTTTTTTTATGATACTTACTATCGTTTTGAACTAAACGGCCTAATTCCTTGGCAACGATAACATTCTTTTTTTTAAAAAAAAATCAAAAAATAAGTAAAAAGAAATTTTTTTAATAAGATTTTACTATTAAAAATGAAATTTGATTTAAATATTTACCATCAATTTCGTATTTCCATAGGATTTAAGAAAATTCCAATAATTACCCTTTTCAAGGTTTAAATTGTCAAAATCAATTTCACCAAAATAATTGGCTCCTGAACTAGTTAATGCAATTTTTCCAGGTAATTCAGCAGAAACTGATTTTTTTATTGTATCCAATAACAATAAAGTAAGTAAAAATTGTGCTAAATGATTGACCTGAATAATGTATAAAAATTAATAAGCGAATACCAAAATAAACGACTTGAAAAAAAAGGTAGTAAATTACCTGAAATTGTATTTCCAAGTTATCCTTCGTTTTAATTATTTGATTCTGAACGATTAATCCTACAAAATATTTCAAATAAGTAAATATATAAACGTGAAACGTGATTAATAAGTCACTATTTTTATTTTCATTTTTTTTTTTTACCTGCATTATTAATTAAAATATGTAATTCTCCGACTTCTTTAATGAATTTATTAGCAAAGTTTTTTACACTTTGTAAATCTGCTAGATCCATTTCCCAAATTTCAACATTGTTTGCATTCCCATTAGAAGATTTAATATATTCTAATAATTTATTTCCTTTTTCTATATTACGAGCTGGTAAAATCAATCGCTTGGGATTAGATTTGGCTAAAATCCTCGCCATTTCTTTACCGATGCCTTAAAATTAAATAAAAGGAATTTATTATCATACTAAGCAAAATTTTAATTTTGAAAAAAAATATTTTACCATCAGTTGCACCAGTAAGGATTATAACATATTTCGATAAATCTTGAATTTCTAATTTAAGTGGCATTTTTTTTTTTTTTGGAGTCGACAGTTTTGAATTTCAAGTGAAGAATTTTGAGCTTTATATAGATAAATTGTCTGTTCATATTCGCTGATCCGCAGAATGTATATCATACCGCGTAATAAGGATAAATTAGGATAATAAAAGAAACTCGGTTGTACATCATTTTCACATTACTGCTGTTTTTATAAGTTACGGGAGACACTTTTATCACTTGCCGAAAGTAACTCGGTAAAACTCGGCAGAGGTTAGAATGAAATAAAAACCAGATACTCGGATCAGTGCTCCGAATTTAACGATATAATTTTTACCTTAGTCTCTCAGACTCTGAATTTATCGGGTATTGCCGAGTGTCTCTTGGCATGTGATTTTGTGTCCTGTAAATGGTTGTCAAGATTGTCATAATCTTACTTGTGAAACTATTATCTACAATACGCAATAATTTAATATTTGTAAGATTCAAATGCAACTAACTTTATCTACAATACGCAATAATTTAATATTTGTCAGATTCAAATGCAACTAACTTTATCTCAATACGCAATAATAATTTAATATTTGTCAGATTCAAATACAACTAACTTTATTTGCATTACGCTGTATAGGTGCCGTCGGAATTGCCGATTGAAATTACGGCATTACGAAATATGGATTTATCATTTAAATATCTAACAAATCATGCATTATAGATTTACGGATTACAAATTATCTACGGCATAACCAAAAAAAAATATTTACTTTCTTTGCGTAATTTTTGTATATTTGGCATTAAATAATTACGGCATTACGGCGATTTAATATATTACGGTAATAAGCTTCATATGCCGTAATTAATTCCGACGGCAAGTATGAATTTACGCTATTTTCGTGTTTCTTTATTTTTCAGAGCTCTCATCTCGGTATACTTGTCGTCGAAATTCATGAATTACGGCAATTTTGGCATTTCGGCTATACCGTAATTAATTCGGCGAAATCCGTAAATTATCCGTAATGCCGTAAATAGGTTTATAATGCCGGTAATTCCGGTAATGCCGGCCGAATTTTTGTTGTTATATCACGTGACGTTACACAAATTTCCAAAAAAGGAAATTTTGCTTCCCATCAAAAATGGAGAATCGAGTTACACAACGGTTACACCATATTCCAAAAAGGAAATTATCGCGAAGATCATTTAACTCTGGCCGAACTTAATGCCTTAATAAAATTTTACGGTTTTTACGGTCGGCAATGCGGCACGTGCCGTAACCGTGGTAAAATCCGTAATTAATTTCGACGACACCTATACATCTCGGTATAGGTGCACCCGAAATTCCCTAATTATATCATTTACAGTATAATGAGTACATACATTAATACAGTATGTCGTAAATAATTTAATTCCGTTTACCGTAGTAAAGTGTTGTAAGTCGTAAATACAGTAATGCCATGATGCCGTAATTTACTTACCGTAAATTGATAAGACTCTTTTTTTTTTTAAGAAAAAAACTTAATCCTGCGTTTCGCCTTTAATAAAACCATCACAATAATAAATCATAGCCCTATAAAAAAAAATCATTCGGATTATATCATGTTTTTGTAAGGCCTTGTACGGGTTATGTCCAAAGTGAGCTCAATATTGTATAATAAATAGCTAGGAATTATTGTGTGTATAATAATTGTATAAAAATGCACGTTATTATTGTGTATTTTATCCAATAATTGCACAATATTTGTAATATTAAGTCGTATAAAAATGTACATTATTATTATGTATTTTATCCAATAATTACGCAGTATTTGATATTTTTGTTGTTGTAAATTGTTATTCATCACTATCAACCTCTTTGTCTATGATATAAAATAATTTATCAATTTCAATAAAGTGAAAATTGGATATTGTTTGTGTAAAATCTTATAACCAAATTTGTCAAACAATAATAATCTCACTGACCAATATAACAATTAGATATTATAAATATATTATTAAATGATTGATTATTGACTAACTGATTTTGAAGCACAGCAATTGACAAAGTATATTTATCTTTATCTAATATTGTAAAATTTGAATCTCAAGTTTATATTTAAAACAAGATGGCTTATAATAAAAATAAAAAAAAATTAATAAAAATAAACAAAAAACAAATATAAATGAAGAGGATGCAAACCAGTCCGTTGTAGATATTGAAACAGAAAGTAGTAAACAAATCTTCAGATAATGAAGACGATACATCTTCAGTAGCAAATAATGTAATGCCTGCTATCCTCAAAAGATTAGAAACTTTAGAAAGACTTCAAACTGCTAATCATAACAAGGCCACCAATAGCCATGGATTTGATGTAGACTCAGATGATACCAGTGATAATTCATCTAAGAAACGTATTTATCAATTCTTGAGTAAAATTTATTATATGTTTGTGAATATTCAATTTATAATTCAAAAATAAAAAGTCAGTTCCAATTGAAAAGCCAAGTAATGTAAAGGTACATTGATATTCCTAAGACACTTAATATAGATAAGCCCATATACCCCATATACAACAGTTACCGGGTAAGTAATTATTGAATACGTTTAATTTACAGCAAAATTCAAAATATACGGGACACTTGAGAATTTGATTGTCGGGTTGTCGGGTAGCCGGGTTACTCAGCAGTAGGTAAAGTAATTAATTGTTACATGTTATATACTATTATACTATATTTATTTATATAATACGATTATATAATCTGATATACTATTATTATTAAATAACCTACTGCCGAGTAACCCGGCTACCCGACAACCCGACAATCAAATTTCTCAAGTGTCCCGTATATTTTGAATTTTGCTGTAATGCTGGTCAAAGTTGTCGGGAAAATGTCCTGTCGGGAAATCGTCTGTCGGGAAATTGTGGTGTACCCTATGATGGGTTGGCAAGCCGAGTTGGTTGACAAAATGTTACACCGTGCCTGACTGTCTGTGCTTGATATTTCTGTACGTGCTTGAATTAGTTTCTTTGTCAGCACAGGGTTGATATTTTGTCGATCACATTTTTTAGCGTAGTTTTAAAAAAAAAATTTTTTTTTTTTAAATTTTACAAAGTTTTTTTTTTGATGGATAATTTCGTCAAAAACTTTTATTTGATAGAAATTTCATTGGAGAATTTTTTTTAATAAGATTTTTTTTTTTT